GGGGGGGGGCCCCGCCCGCCATGCCCACCAGCTCCGCGGAGACCAGCCTGGGCAGCGGGAGGGGCGCTGGGCCTGCGTCCAGGTGGCGGCCAGCCCCGCGAGGCGCATCATAGCATCCTTGTAGGCCGGCTGCAGGATGCGCGCGAAGGCGCCCAGAGCCGCGCCCCAGGTCGGGTGCTGCAGGTTGTTGCAGGCTCTGTCCGCTGCTCGGTACTTGCGGTGCAAACACAGGTCGGAGCAGTTTAGCAGAGGCCGGCGGGCTGTGTACCCTGACACGTCGGCCATGAGGCTGAGGGAGCGCGGGGACACCAAGGCGTTGTAGCGGAACTCTGAAACGCAGAGCAGAGAGCCATGAGCACAGGGTGCTGAAAGGGTTGAGCCAGCTCAGTTCTGTGCCCTGGAGACCCGCCCCCTGGAGGGTGTAGACGCCTTCCTGACTTCAACCGCACTGCCTACGTCACAGCAAAGGGCTGGTAACAAGGCGGGGAAGCCAGTGGAGTTAGGGACTTCAGTCCAGTGAGCAGTGGCTAACCGCCACGGTGCGCAAGGTGGAAGGGGATCGCGCCAGTCCCGCCTGGCCTCCAGCCCATAGACCCCGCATCACGTAAGGATTGGTTAGCCTCCACACAGGACTGTGGGCCGGGTTTGTTCCCATTTTAGACTCCTTTCAGGGTTCATGCTCCTAGGACAGGGTCTAAGGCATGCCTGCGTGGGCGGGTGTTACCCCCACACACTCACGTGGAGGTAGTAGGTGGCAGCTGTTGAACCACTGAGCCCTGGTTCCCTGAGGACCAGGGGACACGTGCATGCACGTGCAAGCGAACACACACACACCACACAGGGTGTGACGCGGATGCACACCTTGCACCAGGGCTTAAGGACCTTCCAGCATCCTCCTCATGATACTGCACAAAGGCTGTTCACCATCGTTTACTGAGAGTGACTGTCCCCAGTGGTCATCGGGAACTAACACACCAGAGCCATTTGCTCTTTGTCTGTTAGCCTGCCTCAGCCTGGACCCTTGGCTCTCTTGATCTGGGGTGAATACAAGAATCCTTCTGCATATCAGGAAGGATGTGGATACTGAGTTTGCTTTTAGAGTGAAATGCTCTTAGGGCAAGAAAAGGACTTTCGATTTAGGAAAGAAAAGGACTTTCGCTTTACAGATACAGATGGGCATAAACCAGCATCTGGTCCTCCCTTAGGACACGCTGCTGAAAGCTCACAGACGTTAACAAAAAGGTACACCGAGTCTGGCAGCGAGCGTCTGCTTGTCAGCTGTCTCCGCAGATGTTTACCGCGTGTCATCTTCCAGTGACGAGGCTAGACTGGTTACTTCTGGACACTTTCTCCTTCTGGCAGGGATGAGTGAGCAGAGGACTCACGGTGGAAGGGGGACCCGGGGGCCTGGCCTTTACCTGGAGCTGAGGGGAGGAGCAGAAGTGGGCTTCACGGGCCGCCCTGGGCTGACACACCTGGTGTGATTCCAGGTGGGTATCTGGACCTTCACGGGGAGCGTTAACCATGCTAATATGAAAATCTCACTGGGTATTTGAGTCAGGGAAACTTTGAAAATCCAGGACATAATGGACACCCAGGGGCAGCCACATGCTCTTTGGAATAACTGTACAGTGCGTGTGGAACTGGTTCGAGTCGCACTCGACACATGGGCCTGCTGCTGTGTCTCAGTTTAGTTTGTGAAGAATAGAGAGGAGAAATCTGTAACCATTGCATTTGCATTCGCAGTGCCGCGTGTACAGCGAAGAGCCACCTTAATTGATTTCATCTGAAAAAGAAAAAGTCTGAGAGCATTCTGTATCTTCGCACTCTGTATCTTCTGACTTGACATTTACTAAATATAATGTGTGTTGACTTTTGGAAAGCGATACATGAGAACTTGAATATAGAAAAGAAGATGAGAGGGGATATAAATGTTATGAGTACTGGAAGGAATTTCAGATAAATTCATAGAGTGATTTGGGCAATTAATTGTAAATTGAGAGGGGCTGGTACGTGGTGTGGCGTTAAGGCGCTGGACTTCCACATGGCTGAAGTGGTTCGAGTCCTGGACTTGGTGACTTGCTTTCTCACTTTCTCTCTCTCTGATTAAATTCAAATATAATAATGATAATTAAAATTAAATTTAAGAAGAATTAAAAAAGCAATAAGTAGAGGAACAGTTTCTTGCTAATAAAGTATTTCTCTGTGGGAAGCATAGTATCTTTTGGATCTTAAGAGTGAGTTTATATAAAATGGGTCTCCCGGATCTGCTCAGTGTACACATCACTGAGTGGTTGAGGCAGGTCTCGAACAGCCAGGTATTCTCCCTACTTTGGAACTGCAGTTCCTATGAAGAATGTGTACGTGTTTTCTTTGGTAAAATGATGAGTAGATTAATCTCGTCTCTCGGTCACATGACGTTGTGGAGATTAAAAGTGTGGTCTGCCCTTCCCAGCAGAGGTTGAGAGTGGAGACGTGACGGTGAGGGGGATGGGTTTGGCTGCTAGAGACCGTTAAGGGGAGGTGGCTGGTGGAGTCTGTGGTGGATGGAGAGTGCAAGACCAAAACAAAGAGAAAAGATTATAAATGACAAGCATGCTCACAAGAGAAACACAAATCAGGCTTTCTTTGTATTGTCTAAAACAGTTCGCGGTAGTGTGTTCTTGTTCATTTTTCTGTCATCAAAAGAGCACTTTGACTCAAAGAAAGGACCGACTAGTGGGTCAAATTTGACAGTCTTTGGCAAAATTGTGGTTTTTCATGAATTTGTAAGTCATTGTTATAAATATCACTTGTATTTTGAGTACTTGTGAACTTGCAATGGAAATTTATTTTGTCAATTCTCTTAATGAACTGAATAAAGTTTTGGTTTTATTTTTCTAAAAGGTGTGCTATGCGTAGCTGAGGAGTGCCACCTGGCCAGGGACGGTAGCTCAGGCAGAACCTCCCCGGACTGACCTGGGCCCTGCTTGTCCACGGTCAGCGCCTGCTTCACGTGGTCCCGGATCAGCTGCAGTGTCTGCGTGAAGACCTCCCCAGCTCTGGCCACCACCACCGTGAACGGGTCCCGTGGGTAGTGGAAGAGAGCCAGCAGATCCCCGGAGGTGTGCGGTCTCCTAGAAGTGACGGAAGACAAGGCTGTGGCAAGACAAACTGCAGACCCGTGACGCTTCCACATGCTGCGTGCTTTAGACATTTCTAAACACGGAGGACAAGGAAGTTTGACCCAGGAAGGCAGGTCTGCAGGGAGCTGTGGGTCTTCTGTTTTGTTAACTACTGAATCCCAAACGCCAATCACAGCATAGAATTCGAATGCTGTATCTTAATGACCTAATGATTTAGGCAGTAGTTTTCTATTAAGAACCGAAGCTATGGAGGGGCCGATAGCTCGGAGGAGGGCTCCCAGGCGCCCTCTGAACCAGTGTGCAACCCACTCAGTCCGGCCTTGGCACTTTCTGTCCTCCTTCTTCTAGACTGAACTGCCTGAAACCAACCTCCCCTTTAGAATTTCCTGCAGACACCGCCCTCCCTGTGCAGTCTCCCCCACCCTTGTGGCTGTGGCCCCCGCGACCTCGCCCACCTTCCCCATAGCATCTGCACCATAGCATCGCTACCCGTATGGGAAGGAGCCTGCCGGCAAAGTCAGCAAATCTCCTGCCCAAGGGCACCCAGACAGAGAGTGGAAATGAGGAGGCACAGTAAGAACACGCGTGGGCTGGATGGCCCACGAACAGGCCCACGACCCATGCCACACTGCATGCGGGTGTCCAGAAGGCACATTTGAAGATATCCCTTTTTGATTACTCATTGTAAACACTGGGTATATATTTTATTGTACTATGAAAACAATAGTCAACTGTTCTTTCATTCATTCTTGTGTTAACACAGCACAGTTTGTGGGACCGGAATGTTTCATTAGCCTAATGGCATTCCAACTCAGACTCAAATAAAGCCAATGCCACGTATCAGAACCAATTTCTAACCTGTGGGCTACAGTTTACTGCCAGGTGTGCTCAACTTGGCAGTCACTCTGACTTCACGGGTCACAGGCACACCGGTTGATGGATGCTGAGGTAACACAGCTGGGGCCTGAAGTCTATCGTGAGACTGTATAGAAGGGACCTGTGGCATCAATCAATGCCACTGACATTTCATGGGGGACAAGCCTCCTTCTCTTTGAAACAGAACTGACCAAGATGGCTAGCCCACAAGAAGGCACACACGCAGGACTGAAGTCGACAGTTTCTAGCACCTTCTGCCTAATCCCCCTGTGATTTACAGGGATTATAAAAACCAAATAGAAGAGAAACGAAAACAATTTTGCAATCTAAATCAAATTAATTCTTACTGTGAAAACAAGTGTCGTCGTGTGGAGTTAATTGCACTGTCAACCCTCCGCACAGCATCAAGGATGGATGATTCCACGAAGGCGTCACCGGCTCGTCTACCCTGTGCTGCTTTGAAAATCAATTCCATGATTAAAGAGAGCAAGCGGACCTTAAAGTTAAAAATGGTATGATATAAGTGACATTACATTTTTAAAATGAAAACTTTTAAGACAATAAAAATGTTACACAATATCTACATGACAGGGTCCACTGCAGAGGAGTCGGCCATTATCCCGGGCGACAGCAGTGTTCAGAGTTAAAGCATTCCCAGATACACAGCGATGAGAAATACTTCTTCTCTATGACACCGATTCACCTAGGATTCCAGTCTGTTGGCGATTTGTCATCTTGGGCAAGATATGAAAAGCCTATCTTTTCAGCCACCTTGTTCTAATGTTAACATTAAAACTAAGTGAATATTATCACATCCCCGTGGAGGTTTCTTAAAGCTAACATCAAATTCTCACTAAAATTTCGGCAAAAAGTAACTCCATCCTGTTTCTATAGCTCTCCAAGGTGTGAGAATTCTGCAGTGGAATTTCATAGACAAAGGAAGCTAGTCACATAGAGTTCACTATCTCCAACAGATTAGTCTTCTCCACATGATGGCTTAAGAGGTTTAACTTTAAAAAAAGCAAACACTGGGAACCAGCAGTTGGCATAATGGCTATGTCGCTGGACTCCCACGTAGTCGACCGCGGTTCACATCCCGGATCCGGTGTCTTAGAACTAACACTGGGCACGTGTGCGTGCGTGCCCAAGATCCCGAGAGGAGAATGGAGGAGAAGGGATTGCGGTGTGACCATCCCCCCTGGGGGGTGATTTCTCGCTTTCTGTCTCTCTCTGTCTGTCTGGCGAGCGAACGCACCCTATAGCGAAAACCTCTCCAAAATAAATAAATAAATAAAAAAGCAAACACTAAATAGAAATGTGTGTGAATAAATATTTAAAGTTCACCTAAGGGAAATAATCAGGTATATTATATCTACAGTGTTTGGTTCATTCTTGTGATATTACAAGTACAATAAAATTTATATATCACAGGCAACTTAAACAATAACTTATGACATTAAATACTGAAAGCAAGAGTTAAATATAACCTCAAAAATTGAGATTGCATTGGGACCAACAGTTAGTGTAATGGCTATGTCGCTGGACTCCCACATAGTCAGCCGCGGTTCAAGTCCCAGACCCAGTGTCTTAAAACTCACGCCAGGTGCGTGTGCATGCATGCCCAAGATCCCGAGAGGAGAATGGAGGAGAAGGGATTGCGGTGTGGCCATCGAGAATGAGGGTGATTTCTCACTTTCTGTCTCTCTGTCTCTCTCTGTCTGTCTGGCGAGCGCATGTGCCCTATAGTAAAAACCTCTCAAAAAAATAAAGAAAGAAAGAAAAAAAAAAAAAAACCTGAGATTGTGTGTGACATCATTACGGAAAAATGAAAAGGATGTAAAGCTTAAATGGTAATGGGGCCAGACGATGGTGCAGAGGGAACACAGCGCTCTGCAATACCAGACCACGACGGAGTCGAGATTGTGTCATGGGGTCTCCCTGAATGCTCCAGGTGCCCAGTGCCTGTGACCCAGGCTGGCCGAGGCTGAGAGTGGACTGTGGCCTGAAGATCCTGTTGTGGGTGCCTCTCTCTCACGGAATAAATAAACATAGGAAGGCAAAAAATGTAGCTTGGCCCAGCCATGGTGGTGCAAGCAGAAGGGTTTGCACCACTGCTTGATGGCTGAGGTCAAAGGAACACTTCAGTTCAGTTCCTGGCCTAGCCTAAGCGGGCTGAGCACAGTGAGAGGGCCTTCAGTTCCAGCGGACTGGAAGACTGTGGCAAGAAGGACTGGGACGTGGCAAGACTTTATTAAAAAAAAACAACAACAAGAAGAAAAACGCCCTCTCTTCTTCCCGTGCATGCACTCGCTCGCTCTCTCTCTCTCATTAAAAATCAAAGCTAAGGACCTGGGTAGTGGCACAGCAGTGAAATGCAGCACACTGCAGTGCGAGTCTGTGTCTGGAGACATGCCCGAGTGTGACGGGGTGATCCAGAGATCCAGGCCTGGCTGGGGCTGGAGGAAGATGGTGGCATCAAGACCTGGTTGGGAGCTGTCTGTCTCTGTCTCTCTATCCCCGTCTCTTAGAAAAATTAAATACATGTTTAAATATGTGTGTGTGTGTGTGTGTGTGTTAAATACATGTTTAAATGTGTGTGTGTGTGTGTGTGTGTGTGTGTGTGTGTGTGTGTAATTTGCCATAGGGTGCCTGGCCAGAGAGAGACACAGAGAGGAAGAATGAGAAATTAGCCCCTGGAGCATGGCCACGCTGCAGTCCCTTCTCCATTCTCCTCTCTCAAGATTTTGGGCATGCATGTGCATGTGCCTGGCGTGTTTTTCAAGTCACCAGGTCCAGAATCCGAACTGCACACTCAAGAATGTGGAATTCAGTCCCCTTAACCACCATCTTACCAGCTGGCTCAAACTTTGAAAAGATTAAAGTAAGTAAATAAAATGGGGCCAGTAGATGCTGAATTCTCACATGGCTGACCATGGTTCAAGTACCAGATCTGGTGGCTTAAAGATCAAGCCAGGTATAGGGCATGTGTCCCCACGATCCCAAGAGGAGACTAGAAGAGAAGGGACTGTGACTGTCTCCCACCCCAGGAGGTGGTTTCTCACTTTATCTCCCTCTGTCTCTGTCTCTGATGGACACACCTCCCCTATGGCAAAAACCTCAACACCACAAAAAACGGGTAGAAAGGTGTGGGTTTTACATACCATAAAACAGGCCTGGCCCAGCTGCAGTGGCAGTGCAGGTGCAGCGGCACCTGTTCCACATGGGACACCCAGGTTTGGATGCCAAGTTAACAGGGTAACTCGAACACACCAGACAGGCACACCACGCACACACACAACACACACACACCCCACACACGTCTGTGATCCTGGCTGGCTGGGAGGTTGGGGGCAAGAATGCAAGATGGCGAGACCCCCTCTATCTCTCTCTGTCTCTCTTTCTCTCTCTCTCTCCATCATAGATGCACACTTCAGGTAACTATTAGAAAACCAAAAAAAGAGATTACCTAAGGCGATCCAGTTAAAATATGTAAGAAAGTGCTTTATAGTTGTGGCTGAATATATAGAAACTGTGGTGGCAGTGGGGTGTGAACGAAAGTAGGAATAGATGAATTAGTAATCAACTAAGTAATCCATCAGTATAATTATCATCATTATGAAAAACCTGAATTTTACCAGTCTAGCTTCATGAATCGAGTTGTTATGTGTTCAAAAAGAATCAGTACAGGGACCAGCGGTTAGCGTAATGGCTATGTCGCTGGACTTCCATGTAGTTGACCGAGGTTCAAGTCCCGGACCCAGTGGCTTAAACTCACATCAGGTGCGTGTGCGTGCGTGCCCAAGATCCCGAGAGGAGAATGGAGGAGAAGGGATTGCGGCATGACCAGCCCCCCTGGGGGGTGATTTCTCGCTTTCTGTCTCTCTGTCTCTCTCTGTCTGTCTGGCAAGTGCACGCATCCTATAGCAAAAACCTCTCAAAAAAAAAAACAAACCAGGGAATCAGAACAAAGGAGATTACTTAATTTGCTACTTAGTAATAAAGTCACCAAGATTGATCAAGTCGACCTGTACTGGCACGTAGGCTGTCTTGATGATTTAATCAGGCGTGACCTTTTCTGTTATTTCCCTTTTACGCCTTCATTTTTGGACCTGCTGTGTAGACAATGGCATTAATCATGCGCTTCATGAAGTCCATGACAAGCATGTCCTTGGTCCCCGACCCCGGAGCACGATGCGCCCTCACAGGTCCACACAGGTAAGGACGCCAACCCCGTGCGCTAGGATCCAGGTCCCACACAGCACAGTGCCCTCAGGGGCCGGAACTCGCTGTGGCAGACCGAGCTGGGAAGGGGTGTATAAATTTCAGAAAGGGCATCACTTAGCATGCTAACAGGAATTGTATTTGATTGACAAGTTCGCTTTTATTATATTTATGAAATCATCTTGTTACAGTCGTGTAAAGTGCACTGGCCTAAGGGATTTTACAGCGTTGTGTTCATCTCTAGAGTCACTCAAAAGTGAAGCCATGATGGGGAGCCTGGAGCTCAGGGCGGATGCGGCTGTCACGTGTTAAGTGTCGGACAGGAGAGGCACGCGGAGTCCTTCTGAAACCATGGTCCACCCCAAATGATTACTGTGGTTTAATAGGTGATCTGTGTGCTCACATGATCGTCAATGACACCATTTTGTCCTATTTTTCCTTCAACTCAATTTGCTATTCATCTCTGTTATGAAGAAACTGACTAATATAGAGAGTGAAAAGGGGACAGAAGTAACAAAAAAGGAGCCATAATAAGTCTTTGAAGTAATGAAATTCTAAAGGACACAAGTAGAAAGCACATAAAAGATGTTCACAGAGCCTTTTTCATTTTTTTTCTATGTTTTTTCCATGAGGTGTGTATACTTGCCAGAGAGACGGAAAGTGAGAAATCCCCCTCCTGGGGGGATGGACATGCCACACTCCCTTCTCCTTCATTATCTTCTTGGGTATTTGATTGACAAGTTCGCTTTTATTATATTTATGAAATCATCTTGTTACAGTCGTGTAAAGTGCACTGGCCTAAGGGATTTTACAGCGTTGTGTTCATCTCTAGAGTCACTCAAAAGTGAAGCCATGATGGGGAGCCTGGAGCTCAGGGCGGATGCGGCTGTCACGTGTTAAGTGTCGGACAGGAGAGGCACGCGGAGTCCTTCTGAAACCATGGTCCACCCCAAATGATTACTGTGGTTTAATAGGTGATCTGTGTGCTCACATGATCGTCAATGACACCATTTTGTCCTATTTTTCCTTCAACTCAATTTGCTATTCATCTCTGTTATGAAGAAACTGACTAATATAGAGAGTGAAAAGGGGACAGAAGTAACAAAAAAGGAGCCATAATAAGTCTTTGAAGTAATGAAATTCTAAAGGACACAAGTAGAAAGCACATAAAAGATGTTCACAGAGCCTTTTTCATTTTTTTTCTATGTTTTTTCCATGAGGTGTGTATACTTGCC